CCCCTTTGCCCGGGGAAGGGGATTCAAGCCGTGGAGCAGCTGTTTGACGCTGCTCCTGCGGCTTTTACGCGTCCTCGGGGCAGGCAGCCAAAAGAATAGCTGCCATCGGCACAGGAACTCAAACCGGAAGTCACCGAACACTGGAGTTCTTATGTGGCCTGGGTAGAGAACTACTTTTGGGTAAACCAAATCCAAGAAGACGGTCTTAAAGCTGCTATGCTGCTATGTGTCTGTGGGCAAGAGATTTTCGATATTGCAGTGAATCTGGTCGCCACTTGAATCCATTGCTTATGCTGAGCTGAAAAGGATGCTGCGAGAACATTTTGAACCGAAGCTTTTGGTGATTGCATGGCGACATGCATTCGAGCAGAGGGACCAGAGGCCTGGTGAGTCTGCTGTGGACTTTTTTGCAGTGCTACGACAAGCAGCTAGGCCATGCGAATTCAAGGACCTGGAAGAGAGACTTCGGGATCATTTAGTTTGTGGACTGAGAAATCGTGAGCTGCAACAGAAGATCTTCGCAAAGGAAGACATCTCTTTCCAAGATGCCTTGAGAGAAATTGCAGCTGAAGAAGTGGCGGCGGAGCTGTGAAGGCCTTGCAGCTTGCCAAGAACCCTCCAACTTCAATCTCCGTCCATCAAGAGGTCGCTCAGGAAGAATCCAAACAGGATCCAGAGATGGAGGTGGACCGACTACAGCAGCCAGCAGAGAGAAGGCCTCAAGAGCGCAAAGACAAGGCAACCTCATTCCCTCAGTGTTTCGGATGTGGAGGACACCACAAGTGCTCTGATTGCCGTTTCCGCTCCGCCATTTGCCGGGCATGTGGCAGGCAAGGCCACATTGCCTCCGTCTGTTTGGGTTGCCAGAAGGACTGATCTTCAGAAGAATTGCGTCAGAAAGGTACCAGGGTCCCCTGCCAGAACAGGGTGGGTTTTTGCGCATCCCGTAGAAGCACTTTTAAAACTGGGGCCTATAAGCCGCTTAGGAAGAAGCTTCACATTGACATGAATTTGCAAGGGTTCCCTTATCGATGGAGTTGGGCACAGGGTCCGCTTTATCGATCATTTCCCAAGACACTTTCAAAAAGATTTGTTGTAGAAGTGGCCTACGAGTAAAACTCAGACCATCGAATTTAATTCTTACTGACTTCCAGAATTCCCGAGTCAGCATGAAGAGGGAGGCCACACTCAAGGTGCAGCATAGGAATTTTGAAGGGTTGCTAGATGTGGTGTAGTTGGGGGTGATCGCACGAATCTTATTGGACTCGATTGGTTTGAGGTCCTTGGGATTCAAGTGACTGGATTTCACAGTTTGCAAACGACAGGCCTTGCAAAAGTTTGCAAGGAGTTTGCTGATGTGTTCAGCTCAGAGCTTGGCTCGTACAAGGGGCCTCCCATTGCTTTACGTTTAGACCCAGCAGTCACACCCACTAGGATTAAGCCCAGACGGGTGCCCTTCGCGTTGAAGAACAAGATTAATGCAGAGCTGGACAAGCTGCTCCAGCAGGGCATCTTAGAGCCTGTGGACAGCAGTCCAAGGGAAACCCCCATAGTCATGCCACTGAAGGCCAATGGAGAAGTCTGAATTTGTGCAGACTATAAGTGTACACTTAACAAAGCATTGCAGCAGCACTCGTACCCAGTGCCAGTGGTGAGCCACATTCTGGCCTCCCTCAAAGGAGGCCATGTTTTTACCAAACTTGACTTGGCTCAGGCCTATCAACAATTACCAGTTGATGAGGCAATGGCAGAGGCCCAAACAATTGTAACACACCAGGGAGCATTTAAAGTTAAAAGGCTGCAGTTTGGGGTTAACGTAGCCTCTGGCATCTTCCAGAGTGTGATGGAGCGAACGCTCCGCAATATTCCAGGTGTTTGCCCATACTTTGATGATGTCCTCATCGCTGAGGAATCATCTGAAAATCTGGCTGAACGGCTTAGAGCTGTCTTGCTGCGTTTCTGCCAAGCAGGGCTGAACCTAAAACAAGACAAATGTAAATTTGGAGTGACCTCCACAGAATTTCTGGAGTTCCGTATTGATGCTGAAGGCATCCATCCTGCTGAATCTAAGCTTAAAGCAATTCAGCAGGCCCCTAGTCCCAAGTCCAAAAGCAAACTTCAGGCTTTTCTGGGACTGTTAAACTTTTATCATTCATTCCTCCCTCAAAAGGCTGCAGTGGCTGAGCCATTACACTGACTCTTAGATAAACAGACTCCATGGCAGTGGACAAAAGTCCACGAAAAGAGCTTTGCAGAGATCAAGGCCTTGCTGTCATCAAATGCGGTTCTAGTGCATTTCAATGAGCAATTGCCTGTATGCATAGCCTGTGATGCATCCCCTTATGGGATTGGGGCTGTGTTAAGTCACTTGAAGGCTGATGGAACACAGGTCCCTGTAGCCTACTATTCTAGGACCCTATCATCTGCAGAACGTAATTACGCACAGATAGATAGAGAAACCTTGGCCATAGTGGCTGGCATAAAAAAGTTCCATGACTTTTTATATGGCCGCCATTTCATGGTCTTTACAGACCATAAGCCACTGCTGGGGTTGTTTACAACCAACAAGCAAACCCCACATATAATTTCCCCTAGAATGCTGAGATGGTCCATTTTCCTTTTTGCATATGGTTCACAAACCAGGCAAAGAAATGGGCCATGCAGATGGCCTCAGCAGATTACCTCTACAGCTAGTAGAGTCAGATCCTGCTCCAGCTCACCACATACTTTCCATTCAGAAATTGCTTGAGTCTCCCCTCAATGCTAGGGACGTGGCTGCAGAAACAGCCATTGATCACACGCTAACACGTGTGCTGACATGGGTGCTGTCAGGATGGCCTGACAAGTGTCCTGGAACAGAGTTCCAGAGTTTCTGGAAGAGGAAGCACAAGCTATCCACCTTCAAGGGGTGTGTCCTATGGGGTAGCAGGGTAGTCATCCCAGCCTCTTTGAGGACTAGAGTCTTGCTCTCTCTGCATGAGGGACATCCGGGTATAGTCTGGAAGAAGGCGCTTGTGCGCAGCCATCTTTGGTGGCCTGGGCTTGATAAAGAGATTGAGGCCCAGGTCCACGGGTGCACTGTTTGCCAACAGTCTAGGCCTGAAATGCCTCAGGCTCCTGTACATAGGTGGGAGGTGACACATGCCCCTTGTTCGAGGGTTCTTATTGACTACGCTGGCCCCTTTCAGGGACAATTCTTCCTCCTACTCATGGACAGCCATTCCAAGTGGCTAGAGGTCATTCCAGTCTCCTCCACTACTATTGCCAGGACCATCCAGGTGTTGAGAGGGATTTTCGCCTCTCATGAACTTCAAGATGTCCTTGTCTCCGACAACGGACCCCAATTCACTTCTTCTGAGTTTCAGGCTTTTCTACAGGCCAATTTGATCTGTCATGCCATGTCAGCACCGTTTCATCCAGCGTCCAATGGCCAAGCTGAGCATATGGTGCACACAACTAGGGGTGCTTTAAAGAGGATCACTCATGGAAATTGGCATCACAGATTAGCTGACTTCCTTCTTTGCCACCCACCACACCTTGCACAGCCACTGGGAAGAGCCCAGCTGAACTCCGCTGGGGTTGCAGACTCATTACTAAACTGGACAGGTTGCACCCAGACCGGGTGGCTTCACAGGTGTCACAGCCACGGGCATCTAGGAGACTACAGGTGGGCGATCTGGTCTGGGCAAGGAACTATGGACCTGGACATCTCTGGGTGACAGCAGTGGTATGCAAGGTCTCTGGGCTGCTGTCATACGAAGTGGCCTTGGATGATGGTCGGGTGATCCGTCGACACATCAATCAACTGCGCTGGAGGCTTCCCAGCCACACTTCCACTCCTGGCTCTGCTCTCGGGGGGGGGGGGGGGAGGACCGCACTTATGATTGTGGACCACAGTCTCTCTGCGAAAGTGGAATTTCCCAGGCACCAGTAAGGGGTCTTGCCATGGAGGCGGGTCCTGACTCTGGCACTCCTGACCCTGGCAACGGCACCGGGTCTATGGGACATTGCTCGCAATCGGCTTTTCAGGCCAATCCATCTGCTGGTCTTGTGCTCACGGGACAGTGCTCCCAAGAGGGGTCCATTGTGGATTTGGGGAATTCCACCCCACCAATGGACTTGGGGAATTCCACCCCACCAAGGAACTCTGGTCTGGGTTTAGAGGATCCAGCCAGCATGGAGGGTCACCTGAGTCTAGGGGACATCAAAGCCCTGGTCTGCCTAGCCTGGCAGGCAAGCTGGCAGACCATGCAATCACACCTGCTACAAGAAGGTCAGAGTGGGCCAAGGGTCCACCCAAATACTTAAAGGACTATGTGAGGTTCCTGTCAAGTATGGAGGAAACTTAATAGTTCTACATAAAGTAGAACGCTTCAGAAGAAACAAGTGTTGAAGTTATACTAGTACAAAATATTGAGTATTACTGTTGTGAACAAAGGAGATGAAGAACTGGAATAGTTTGTAGTAATTTAAAATAATAAGTATTTGCTTATTGTTTTATCCAAGGGGGGAGAGGTGTTATGTCCTGGGCCTGCTGAGTCATTCAGCATGTGCAGGAAGCTGGAGAAAGGCCCAAGCAGACCACATGAATGCCCGGGACCAGACAGGCTGTTTCCCGCCTTGCACGCATACGCAAGGCGGGAAAATGCTTTGCATTGATTGGCTGATACTGTCCCTGCAAAGGGGTATAAGAGGAATCCGTGCCATTTTGTTTTTGGTTCTGTTGGTTCATTGAATAAAGACAATACTGTTTGTTATTCCTGCCTCGTCTCCATGCCTTTGCGATCAAAACAGAACAGTATGAAGACATTTGGTGATCATGTACATGCAATTAAGATAAAATGATGGCATGTTAAAAATTGATGTGAAAAACTGAGCCCCAAATTATGACTATGTGTAGATAGCATTTTCACTGCATTTAAAATTAATATCATGCCTTGCATATGTTAAATTCCACAAAAGAAACTTAATGTAGATTTTATGTTTTTTTAAATTGTTAGATGATACTTTAAATATGGATCAGAGAATCCTTAAACTGATTCTGCAGAATCACATTTTGAAAGTGAAAGTTGGCTTGAATGATCTCTACAATGGGCAACTCTTGGAAACACTAGGAGGAAAGAAGCTACGAGTATTTCTATATCGAACAGTAAGTAAAATTAAAGATTTTAAAAAATATAGTAAAAGATAGTAAAATTTTAACTCTGTAGTCATGCTTCAGTCAAAGGTTATGCCATATAGCCCATTAAAAAGGTTAAGGCTAAATACTGAGAGCTGAAATTAACTTATTTGAACACACAGGGAAAATATGAGTAGTAAACACAGCTAGGATAGCTCTGTAAAATAATGGAAATGACTGGGTAACCAAATTTTAATCTGATCTGCTTTTCAGCAACCTTATATTTAACCATTCTGTGTAGGTATAGGTGTAAATGCTGTAATTGATCTTATTATTATTTTTTGTTTGGAATACATTTCCTAATATGTATTATGGGAGCAATTTTACAGCTTTGGAAATGAAAGTAGAATATTGGTGCATTTATTAAATATAGAATTTTATCAGCTAAATCCAGTATCTAAACTCAGTAATGTTCTGCTCAATTTATGTCCTTGCTTTAATTGGCTATTTGGATTGACACTGATTTCAAGATGAGCAGAATCTGGTCCTAAGACACTTAAGAACAAAATGTGCTTGTTTTGTTTCTAAAGGTAATTTTTTTTCAGAGAAGAAATTCCTGAAATAATGGGACAAAAGTATATTAGTAATATATGTATAAACAATTTAGTACAGTGCAGTATTTCTTGGAAATAAGCTTCATTTGAAAGATTGAAAGCAGTCTACCCTCATGTACTAGGATTTCAAGTTCACCCTTGAAATGTTATATTTAGTTAATATATTATAGAAAATTTATGATTCTAGATTTAGTAAGTAGCCTTAGTAAGATTCTAAAGATTTAGTTTCTGTGGAGTTATTTAGATACATCTTATAATTGTTTACACATTAAAGTTCTTATGCTTGGCCCTGAATCATCATTTTTGACCTGTTCAGAAAAAGTTACTAAAATCACTATGATATTATTTTCATGGTGACTTTTATTCAGCCATCAAAGAAAATGTTATATTTATTTTAGCAGACTGCTTGCACAAGAACTAAATGGATAATATTTTATACTACATGAAACTTTTCCATACAAAATGTTTTTATGTATTTTCTAGTGAGATTTAGCTCATATGCTGTTTGCTTTTTATATTGCTAGGCTGTGTGTTTTGAAAATTCATGCATGATTCGAGGAAGCAAAGAGGGAAGAAATGGATTTATCCATATTTTCAGACAAATAATCAAACCAGCAGAAAGAACTCTGCATGAAGTATTGCGATCTGACAAACGATTCAGGTGTAGTAAGCAATTTTAACTATTAGAAGGTACCAAAAATATGAAGCTATACAATAATGCTTTTCATATTTAATATTAGAAATGTCAGTAGATATTACTATATGAATGCAAATATTTGAGGGGCTGACACAAAGAAGAAGGGTCAAATTATTCTCCAAAGCACCAGAAGGCAGGACAAGAAACAATGGCGGGAAACTGATCAAAGAGAAAAGCAACTTGGAATTAAGGAGACATTTCTTAACAGTGAGGACAATTAACTAGTGGAACAACTTGCCTTCAGAAATCGTGGGGGCTCCATCACTGGAGGTTTTTAAGACGAGACTGGACGAGACTTGTCTGAAATGGTAGGGTCTCCTGCTTGACCAGGGGGCTGGACCAGAAGACCTCCAAGGTCCCTTCCAGCTCTATTCTGATTGATTGATTGATTCAGACAGAATTTTTTAAGGCACCTTTTATTTCTAGCCAATTTATGCATTCTGTTCTGTTCTGTTCTGTTCTATATTGTTCCAGAAATACATTATCCTGACTGGTTTAGGAATAGACCAGCACAACTTAGAGATGCTCCAGAAGATGACTGAGAAAAACAAATTTAGTTCTTGGAGGGGACATTCGCCTTAGTCAAATCAAAGCAAATCTTTATTATGGTCGTAGACCAAAGTTAGTATTTAATCTAAGTCTATATCAAATTACAGAGCTCTCTAGTATGACAGACTAGATGCTCATTAAGTCTAATTTATGGCACAGATCATACTATGACCAATTTTAAGCACTACTATGCAGAACCTGGCAACAATGTATGTTTTAGCAGAATTGATATTTAAAAGTATAGAATTGAGAGGTGTAAAATTGGCCTGTGTACCTTGGATATTTATGAAGTTATGGTGAGATGAGGCTAATACAAATTTTTCTGTAATACAGGGACCAAGAAGCACATGCTCTATTGTTTATGTGTATTCAGATTATAGGGGCATTACCTTTCCAAGTAAGGAATTTTCATTTATCAGTCTTCAAAGACAGCTGAGGGGGGGTTCATAACTTTATGCCAGAGCAAAGGCCCTCCTGTGTTTAGGTATTTCAAGGTTAGTTATGCCATAGGGGAGGCAGACTATCTAAGCGATTCACTGACAATAAATGTTGGGATCCTGGCTACATCCAATTTGGCAATCTGTGGCTGCTACATGTTATTTAATGAACACTTTGGAATAATCACACACTAGGCTGATAAGAAGACATGGAGAGAAGCCCAAGGATGGGAATTTCCTGATAGTGAAAATAATTAACCAGTGGAATGGCTTACCTTCAGAATTTGTGGGTGTCCATCACTGGAGACTTTTAAGAAGAGACTGGACAGCCATTTGTTTGAAATTGTTCTCCTTCTTGAGCAGGGGTTTGGACTAGAAGACCTGTAAAGTTCCTCTGTTATTCTGTTATAGCTGCCACTACCTTTTTCCATGTGGATCACTCATAGCTAATCAGACAAGACCAAGGGGAATTAACTAAAGTCTAAACAAATGGCTGAGTATGATCATCTACACACTAGCTTCTACTTTCATGAGGCCTGTTTCTAATTGCAGTTAGCATTAGAAACACATTTTAGGACATGAAGGGCTGATCTTAGAAATTTGGATTGTACAGGTTCTAATAGTAAAGACTGGAGAAGGAGCTTAGTTGGGAAACCATGAAGAACATGTTATTGGCTTGGCTTTGAATAATTTGAGTGCGGCAGGCATATAGTGACTACCTCTTGTTTTAGAGAATTTAAGAATGGCAGATAAGCAACTACAGTAGCGCATTTTCTGCAACATTTATGGTGCAGCACAGTTATGGATTTCCTACTATCAGCAGAAGATGGATTACCCTCAAGTAGTTAAATCAGGAAATCTGCCCAATTTTGTGGTCATCTATGTTCCAAGAATGGCTCTTGGGTCTTTTGGCAAATGTTTTAGTTTTCTGATAATTGATAAATGCATTGGTGGTATAGTGGTGAGCATAGCTGCCTTCCATTATCCTTAGAATAATCCGTTCGTTTTAGGGATTATTTCCTCCCCCACTTTTTTTAATTGAAAGACAGTTGATGTCTAGCCACAGTTATCCAATTCAATGAGTTCAGATCCATTTTTATCCCTTCCCTCTCCACTATTGGCCTGTCTAGAGTTTTTCTATAGGAATTCCATAGAGATAACTCAACTGAAGGCTGCAAAAGCACTCAAATACAAGGCTATACTAGACCTGCTCCAAGAATAACAGAATAACAGAATTGGAAGGGACCTTGGAGGTCTTCCAAGACTTTAGAATATGGGTAGTTGTCACTTATCAACTGCCTGTTTATTGATTGTTTGAAGTTATGACCATTGGAAAAAAATCAGCTTTGTGACTAGTCCTTGAATTTACAGCTATATCCCGCTATCATTGCTATTTGGGCACTTCATAACAAGCAGAATTAAGTGGTTGAAACTGAATACAAAATAAAAATGACTTTGATATTGGGAGTACTGCATATTCTACTTTCTATATACAATTTCATTTTAATGTTCTGTCAAATGGCAACACTGAGAAATATATTATATTTGGTATTGTTTTCATCCCCAGCCTTTTCCTCAGTCTTGTGGAAGCTGCAGGCTTAGAAGAGGTTCTATCCCAGCCTGGTGATTGGACTTTCTTTGTTCCAACAAATGATGCTTTCAAAGGCTTGACTGAACAGGAGAAAGAGATTCTGATAAGTAAGTCATAAAAAGATAAACAAGGGCATTCCCTGGGAATGAATTGTTTCATTTCTTCTTTTGCACTATGAGAATTGTAATGTGATTTCTCTTAGTTATTTTGGTTTTTTAAAATGGTCTTTATGGTCCTGATATTATACTGCCAAAATTCAGCAGCAAAATTTAATTTCCAATAATGCAATTATTTCTTTTCTCCTCCTTTTTGATAAAATAAACCCTACAGTATGTATATTAAACTTTGATTTAAAAAAAAAGCCATTCCCCTCCTGTAGGTGAAACAAAAGCCTCCCCCCAAATAAAACAAAGTGTGACTCCATGGCAAGTATTATCTCTATATCTATCTATCTATCTATCTATCTATCTATCTATCTATCTATCTATCTATCTATCTATCTATCTATCTATCTATCTATCTATCTATCATCTATCATCTATCTGATTTGTGTGCCACCCATCTTGTCCAGAGGCAATTAAAAATATAAAAACAAGTCAACACTATTTGATAATATACAGTAGAATTCATATTTGTTTATATTTTGTTTTTGATACCTTATAGGTATTTGGTTATTGCTTTGACAATATATTCTGCCTCTTCCTCACTTCCTTATTTCTCCTTGATTTTATGCTGACCGATAGTCAGTGTTGAAAGGTGACCATAATAGTTTGGAATTCTTGATTTTAAAAGAACCTGAAACTAACATATACTGTATGTCTATTAACCTTCAAAGAGAATGGGATATTTTGAGAACTTAGAGCAATTATTATATGAATCCATGGCAGAAAATGTTCAATATTCTATAGATTTATATTCTTAAAAAAGGTAATAGCAATAGAAATCATACTGTAAATAATTTCCCAAAGAAGAAGTTAACAAAAGAAACGAAACTACCGTAGCTACCCAAATAGCTTGGTAAAGATCTGAAGAATACATATAAGAGATAGAAATTGTGACAGGTCACCAAAGAAGAATGGCACAGATACTATAGAGATGGTATCAAAAAACTAACAGTTAGAACAAAAAAAAAATGTTGTATAGATATGTTGAAAATAAAAGGAAGAAGGAAAGTACATTATCTATTTAGTCAAAATAAAAAAAATTGCTAACAGTTCTACCTATCTCTTTTGGCTTATTCTATGTAAAATAGAATAAATGGCAGGATTGAAGGACAAGAGTTATTGTCAGAGAATACCTATTTATTATGAATAAATTTAAATTTCCAAATTTTTTTTGTATTCAATTTTTTCTTGATTTTCAAATAAACAAACAAGTTACAAATATGGTATACATTAATAAACAAGAGAAAAAACCCCATATTAAGTATCTATTCAGAGATGCTCAGCAGCCCCCCCGCCTGCGTCCACCCTCTCTTTCACCCTTCCTGCCTATTTTCCTCCTCCTCTCTTCTCCTACCTACACCTCTCTCCTCCTTCCTCCTCTCAACTACCCTACACATCCCACCTCCTTCCTTTCCTCATCCTGCGGACGCAGTTTGGGGGCGCCAGCCGAGCATCTCATCTTCTTCAAATACATTATTTCACTACAACATTTTAATATACCAAAATTTACATTTACATCTTTGATCCCCTCCCCCCCTCCCCCCCTTGACTTCCCAGAACCGAATACAGGGTTATGCACATGTCATCCCAAATCTAAATAAAACTACCCAAACATAATACAATCAAATATTAACATACTTTAACTCTAATAAAAAAATATCAACTTGAGATAAATATAAAATATATATAATATAATAATTAAATAAAAACAATATAAAATCTACTCAAAAGCTATATAATATTTGATCACTTCGTACTTTCTCTGAATATAATCTATCCATCTTCTCCAAACCAAAATAAATTTTTCTTGAGATTGATCTTTCAAATATACGGAGATCTTTGCCATTTCTGCAATATACGACACCTTTAATCTCCAATCGTCCATAGTAGGTAATACATTCTTCTTCCAATATTGAGCAACCAATAACCTTGCTGCCGTTATACAATACAACACCAAATTTATTTCTGTGGGATTTAAATTTTCCATAATACCCAATAAAAATAATTGCGGTATAAATTTTATCTTTTTCTTAAAAATCTGTTGGATATTCCACCAAATCTTAATCCAAAAAGCCTTTACATCCCTACATGTCCACCAAATATGATAATAAGTTGCATCTAAATTACCACATCTCCAACATTTAGGCTGTAAGTTAGGATACATGCAAGACAATTTTTGGGGATCCAAATGCCACCTATAAAACATTTTATAAAAATTTTCCCTTAAATTCTGCGTTTGAATAAATTTCACATTTCTTACCCAAATTATTTCCCATGTATCCAGCAAAATTGGTTCTTGAATGTTTTGAGCCCATTTAATTATACAATCTTTAACTAATTCTGTTTCAGAATCCAATTCTATTAAAACACTATAAATTCTCCTAATATGAGCTCATGAAACTAGAAATCAGACGAAATAGTTTAAGTGTAGGAGGTTTCAATTTGGTTCGAAAACTAGATATACGGTGGATAGATGGTTAACTGTTATACTCTTGGTCCTTACCTCTTATAATAGAGCAAAGTTTAGAAGGTTATTAAATTTAACGGTTAGGACAGGGGAGTTTTATTCATTTAGGAATATTCTTTAGGGGAGCAATTTAACTCCCCTCATAATTCCTTGTATTGCATGTTCTGGAACTACCCATATTGGAATTTTAGAATTTAATTTATAACAATGTTTCTTCCAAACACGCAAAAGTGCAGTCCTTAAAATATGGGTCTTAAAAACTTGATCAACTTTCTTATCAAAAAATAAATAAGCATGCCATCCATAAAATAAATCCCAACCGTCAAGAATCAATATATCTCTATTAGTTAAATTAATCCAATCACTGATCCAAGTTAAAGCCACCGCATCATAATATAGTTTTAAATTCGGGACTTTAAGTCCCCCTCTTTCCCGTGCATCTTGCATAATTTTGAATTTAACCCTCGGCTTTTTGCCCTGCCAAATAAACCTGTTGATACCTCTTTGCCATACCTCCAAATTGGAATCTTTTTTTAAGATAGGTATCATTTGAAACAAAAAAAGAAATTTTGGAAGAACATTTATTTTAACCACTAAGATTCTCCCTAACAATGATAACTGTAACTTTTTCCAATCATCTAAATCCTTTTGAATGTTTATCCATAACTTGTCATAATTGTTTTTATACAATTTAACATTAGAGGCAGTAATATAAACACCCAAATATTTCACCTTTTCCACTATTTCAAAACCAGTTAAATTAACTAAAATCTCCTTATCTTTTTAAATCATATTTTTGGATAATATTTTAGTCTTATTATTATTTACTTTAAATCCAGAAACTTTCCCATACTGTATCAAGATCTGTATCAAATCTCTTACTGATTCAATCGGCTGAGATAAAGTAAAAACCAAATCATCAGCAAAGGCTCTCAATCTATAATCATTCTTGTTTAAAATTATTCCTTTTATAATCAATGATTCACGAATTTTAATCAATAAAATCTCCAATGTCAAAACAAATAAAAAAGGTGATAGTGGACATCCTTGCCTTGTACCTTTCTCAATTTTAAATGTATCTGTCAATCCCCCATTGACTACAATTTGTGCTGATTGTAATTGATAAATAGCCTTAAGAGCAGACAAAAAACTATCTCCAAAATTCATTCTCTCCACAACTCGCAATAAAAATTGCCAGTCCAATTTATCAAACGCTTTTTCAGCATCCAAGAAGATAAAAGCCGCTGGAATTTGATTATTTTTATCCAAATATTCAAGCAAATTCACAATTTGTCTAACATTATACTTCATATACATATCATTTATAAATCCAAACTGATCAATATGGATTATCCGCTTCAAAACTTGCATTAATCTGTTAGCTAAATTTTTTTGTAAAAATCTTGTAATCTGTGTTCAGTAAGGATATTGGTCTATAATTTTTAGGCTGAGTCAAATCCTGATCCTCCTTCAGTATAAGTGATATAAATGCACATCTCCATGATGGAGGGACCTCTGCTCTGGACAGGATACTATTAAAAAGATATTTCAAAGGTTCTATCATTTCTTCTGATAACATTTTATAATATATTGCTGTAAACCCATCTGTACCAGGAGCTTTTCCAACCTTTAATTGTTTAATTGCCTCTATAATCTCCTCAACCACAATCGGAGAATTCATAACTCCTTGTTGTTCATCTGAAAGTCTAGGAAAATTTGCTTGCTGTAAATATCTATCTATTTCAATAGGTTGTACATTTTCAGAGGCGTATAATTTTGAAAAATATTCCAAAAAAGCCTTTTTGATCAAATCTTGTTGGAAAACTTCTTTACCTTTATAATTTATTTTCTCTATAATTCTTGATTTTTGTTTCTTACGTAATTGATAAGCCAACCATCTACCAGGTTTATTTGCATTACAAAATGTGTTATGTTTCATATACTTCAGATTAACTGCAATCTGATCTGCCATCAACATATTAAACTGTTCCTTCAACATAGCAATAGAAACCTTTAAATTATTATCCATTGGGTTTAAAATAAGAGCTTTCTCTTTTATTTTAATCTCATCCTCCAAATCTCTACGTTTTTGTATTTGCTTTCGCCTATGTGCACTGTTCATTGAAATTAGAGCACCTCTCATATAAGCCTTACTAGCATCCCATACCATTGACATAGAGGTGCCCATATTCATATTCAGCAAAAAAAGTCTCTTAAGTAATCTTTAAGTTTCTGCAGGTTACTCTCATGTCTAAATAAATTCTCATTTAACCTCCAAGTCTTTCTATTTTCTTCAGTTGAAAGTTCCATCCATACAGGACTATGATCTGATAAAATCCTAGAAAAAATATTCACTTTCTTAACCCTAGAAAGTAAGTCATTAGTTATTAAAAAAATCAATTCTAGAGTAGGAATGGTGTCTGTCCGAAAAAAAAGTAAAATCTCTTTCTCTTAAATTCCGTTCTCTCCAAATATCTCTTAATTCCAAATATCTCTTAATTCCAAATCCTCTTGCAATGCAATTTAGGCAATTTAACTTGAGTCAACACTTTAGAAGAAGTCTTTTTATCTTTCATTGGATCTATAAATTTCCAAATTTTAAAATACAAATGAATTGTATTTGAGGATACTGAAGGAATTTGCTCATGGTTTGGTTTATAAAATATATTTTCAAAAAGGGGAGAAGAAAGACACACCTATCAGACTTTCATTGGTATCTGGAAAATTCTATAATAAGTCATAAAATAACAATGTATTGAAATTTCAGAAGATGTCTCAAGAATAATCTTTCCATATTTGGGGGGGGGGTTTAGGGAGAGGGAGACAGGAAGATGGAAGAGAGAGAGATTTTGGTAGCCTCACCATCACTGAATATATTTTTAGCTTCTAGCTACTGAATATGTTTTCAGCAACTAGCTGTTGTGGTTTATAGTTTGGATTTCTGTATGGGGTAGGGCAGTGATGGCGAACCTTTTAGAGACCGAGTGCACAAAAACTGGCACCGCCCCCTGCTCCAACAAACTCGCTCCACCTGTCCCACGCTCTGCCCCACCCAACAGCCCGCAGGGCCACCCACCGCCTCCACGGCCCACCGCAGCAGATCACCCAGATGGCCCTGCAGCACCATGGTGGCCATGCCCCACGCACAGCAACATCATCTACATGCAATGGGGCATGAGGGTGGAGTCTTATCCCTGCTGCCTAGCCGCCATGTCCTTGGCTGCGGTGCTCTGTGCAGGCCACGCCTGGGGACAACTCTCCTCCAGGGGAACTGCTGGTGAGGAGGGAGCCATGGGGGGAGTTGGGGCTGGGGCAACAGATAGGGCAATGAGTGCCACCTCTGGTACATGTGCCATAGGTTCGCCACCACTGGGGTAGGGGATAGGATTAAAAAAAATACATAAATCACCACTTTATGATTTCCTTCCTAACCTTCTCTTTCACACACACACACACACACACACACACACACACATACACACGCACACACACACACACCACACATATAGTATTAACCTACCTTACTTGAATAAGCATTTTCATTCTTGTGTCACCCTGTGATATTGAGATCCTTGTTCTTTCTGTTACATGAGTTATTTTTGGCTTGTTCTCATTTATGATTTATATGTCAGATTTCAATAAAGGATTTATTTGCATAGAAGTTGCAAATTTGCTTAATTTTGTTTAAAGTAGAATAATCATCTTTTTTTTTTTCGCCAGGAGACCAAAATGCTCTTAGGAATATTTTGCTTTATCATTTGATACGAGGAGTTTTCATTGCAAATGGAATTGAACCTGGTGTGACTAGCATTCTTAAAACTATCCAAGGTAGCAAACTATATTTGAAAATGGTAAGTAGTTATAGTTTTTTTTAAAGACCCTTAGCTTTGTTTATAGTTAATTCACTGACCATTACATATCCAAACTGACAGTGGGGAGCATCCTTGCAAAAACTACGCATTACTGTCGACTAAAATTCTACAGCTTCTTTAAATTTACCTAAATCTCCAAATTTCTCTAATATTGGAGATAAAAATATTACTTTCACTAATTGTGAATAATTTTCTTGTTTTGATTTTTGTTGATTATTGCTTAGATAAATGACACTCTTCTGGTAAATGAAGTGAAATCAACAGAATCTGATATCATGGCAACTAATGGTGTGATTCATGTCATAGACAAGCTGCTGTATCCTGCAGGTAATTTAAGGATTATTACAATGTATTCATGAGATATACTGGCTATGGGCTATACTGATTTTTCCCACAGGTTCACATTATCATAGAAATGTAAATATAGTATTTGTGTGCAATTGCTAAAAAGTGATAATAGACTGGATGGGAGGGACCCATGGTTGGCATTTTTGACAGTTGCTGGAGGAAGAGTAACTTGGGATGGTATTGTATAAATCACTGGAGATTTTAAAAAATAGACTGGACAGCTAGTTGACTGGGATGGTATAAAACTCTAGATGATCTCCGAGGTCCCTTCCAGCCTATGATACTATGAAGTCTGTCCTCTTGAAACAACTTCCAGTAAGAAATTAAGATCTTACTTAATGTGATGCAATTCCTAATATTATGTTTCATCATTCATTCTGCACAAGTTAAACTGAATAGGAAATTTGAGAAAGCAGGGATGTTGTAATAAATGCCAGATACCAGTGACAATTTGATTCCCCAGCATGATGACTGAAGAATCCACCAATGGATTATTTCAGTCCTCCTGCCCAATCAGACTAAGTTGTCAAGTTGTCACGCCCCCTGCTTGACTGGGACCTCCCAGTTTCATCTTAGTCTTTCGCCCATGAGGACGTGATAACTTGACTCTCCAGGCAGGTTAGACTTATTGAAACTGTTACACCAATTGGTGGATTCTTCAAATCAGAAGATTGGAGGCTTCCAGTCTCTGATTATTCCTACAGGGGATTTTATCCTCTCTTTTCTTTAAACGGGGGAAAAAAGAAGTACTTTTCTCTCCTATCACTGGGGGGGGGCAGTCTCTTTACTCTCCCCATACCTCATCAGCCAGCTGAGTCCCTTTCCAGCCCCTATCAGGCTACTGGGGGGTGGCTTCCCTTTCTCTGTAACTCAGCAGTTCGCTAAGTCTCATTCCCAGCCCCTCTCAGAGACACTCACTGCCAGATTTCACGGAGATTGCCTCCGTCGGCGATTTTGCTCTCGCAGCCGCCATCTTGAGGCCGCTTGGCCTTCTGTTCCTTGCTGGCCTCCGTCGATGCTCACCTGCTCGCGGCCGCCATCTTGAGGCCATTTTCGGCCTGCAACTTCTCTCCGAAGTCTCCTGCAGCCCAGCGGACGGGCCTAACTCGGCTGATTGTGAGCGCTGCGGGGGAGAAGAGGTCTAATCAATCCTCATCTCCCCGGTTGTTGAATTTCAGATGGAGGCCCGGTTAAGGGTCCGTCAGCTCCTTCGCACCTCACAGCAATTAGGCGCGAAGCATCCAGTCTCTCCGAACTTAGGGGCCCTGGAGAACTTGTATTTACAACCAGATTCAACCAGAATCCCCCCCCCAGGGTTGCCCCCCCTCAGGGTTGGGGACAACCACCTTTTTGTGAGGCAGTAGTATTCCACAGGGAATATTCTAGAACTGCCTCACAGTTGCGACGCCATTTTGTGAGTTCTTAACACTCTGAGAGGCCTCTCATAGTTGTCTAGAGTGACCCATTCTATGTATAGGCAACAGGCCTTGGATTAATTCTAGTCATCTACTTGTATAGTCTGCTTTCATTCAAATACTAGTTAAAGTTTACAACAACATACCACCTATCTATCTACAACAACATACCACAAGCATCTATCAAACCCTGCTTGCCTAACGCGCCTTAGCCTCAATTTCTGCCACTCTGCATCTAGTGGTTGCTTGCCAAGACCTGACCATCGCCACTATTGTGAGACGCGTGTGATTTTGTCACCACTTTGGCCACAGATCTAGGCATACGGATTGTCCTTGGCCTTGGTGACGAGCGCCTTGAAGCGCCTAGCGGGAGTCCAGCTTAGCCAGTGGACCGGCTCATGCTAATCCACGTGCAGTCAGTCCCTTCACGGGGACGTCTCTTGCAGAGCGAGTCAGTTCCAGAGCCTCATCTGGAACGCCTCTCGACCAACCATGGCAGACTTCACTGAGCCAAACCCTTTGGATGCGGACAAGCAATCCAGCCATACAGAACCCGCTCCAGAGGTGACCAGGGGGAAGGCCAAAGCCAAATCCAAGTATGGCAGGAAGGCAAGTAAGGCAAGCGACAAGCAGGCCGATCGCACACACCGAGCCCTAGAGAAGCAATTCTCCCGGGCCCAACGCTTATCAGCCGGGGAAGGGCAGACATCTCTGCTCCCCCAACCTGTGGCTCCTGAGACAGGAGCAAAACAGCCTGCTTAGTCAAGGGCGTGGTCACCAGAGCATGAGTATCAGCAGGTCTCTGTTCAGACCTTTGGTCAGGGAGATCCACCCCTTTTTGGGAAGGACCTCGAGCTGCCAGGCCCCTCCACAGCACCCACAGCAACTTTCATGCCAACTGCAGCGGGGCTTCGGCCTCCACATGAGACCTCATTTACCGACCAGCTGCAGTCTTTAATATCGCAGGCGGTCCTCCAAGCCATGGCCTCATCGGGTCATCATCATCACATGCCTGCCATGCCGAGGTCCTCATCAGCGCCCTCCACCTCATCACGACCTATACTCGACCGTTCCGGATTGATCTCACCATCTCACTCACCTGAGTCAGATTCCTCCAGCGCTTCGGATTATGACGCAGCTGCAGACCGATGATCAGATTGTGAGGAGCCTTCGCAAGACTCCCAGCCCATGGTGGAGCTATTTAATGCTTCTCTTTTTCCTTCCTTATTACGCAGAGCATGCGCAGTGGACAAGATCACCTCCGCCCCAGTCCCCGCCCCAGAGACTTCAACTGGACAGGACACGAATCCCCTGTTCTCCGAACCGGTAATTCAATGTCTGCAAATTCCCTGTACCCCTTTCTCCTAAAAAATATTCAGGGACAATGGGAATCCCCGGCAGCTCAGCCATCCCAAGGAGCGGCTGAACGTAAAATTGTTGACATGGCTCAAAGCTTGTCAGACTTATTGGAGGTGCCCAAAGTGGACGAATCCCTAGTTCCACTTTTCTCAACAGCCAGTCTACCAGCAGATGTATCTGACGCCCTTAAGGCGGAGGATAAAAAATCTGAACTAGCATTACGCAAAGTTCACCAAGCATCTGCATGGGCAGCGAAGGCAGCAACCTCCACCTCATTCTTCACCAGAATTTCTCTTACCTGGCTTAGACAGCTACAAGACAGAGTTCCCCTGGAGGAGGTCAGAGTCCACCAGGACCTGACCAAACTCATAGCAACTTCTGAGTATATGGCAGATGTCTCACTATACTCCGCCAAACACTTGGCCCAGGCAATGGCTTCCAGCGTAGTCGCTCGGAGGCTGCTCTGGCTTAAAAATTGGAGGGCCGAAAGCAAACACAAGTGGCAGGCGGCCACTGCCCCTTTCAAGGGAGGCAGATTATTTGGGGAGGCATTAACTCCATACCTCATAGAAAGCAAACAGAAACAGAAGGTCATCTCTCATTTGACATGAAGAGCTAACAGACGCTTCCTCCCCTATGGCCGCCATCAGTCCTTTTGGACTGGTGCTTCAGCAGAGACGGGACAATCATACCGGCCTTCAGCTCCCAAGACAGAACGTCAATTTGACAAGACAAATTATAGGGACCGGTCACGGTACCAGGCCCAGAGCAAGTCTTCATTTCGTGGCAGAGGGGGCCGTCCCTACCGTCGCACCAAGTGACTTAGGGGGGACCCCTCCCATTGGTGGCAGACTCACTCTTTTCCTTCACCAATGGGAAAACACGACTACAGACTCCTGGGTTCTGCGCACCATAAGAGAAGGCCTGTCCCTGGAGTTCAAATCCACTCCCATAAACCATTTTGTCTCTTGTCCAACCCTGAGAAACCCAACAAAAAGAGGGCTCATGGAGGACACCATTCGTCATTTACTAAACATCAAGGCCATAGAGGAGGTCCCCTTGAAGCAGGTGGGACAGGGGTATTATTCCATCCTATTTGTAGTCCCCAAATCCTCAGGGGGATGGAGGGCAATCCTCGACCTCAAGGGTCTGAACCTCCATCTCCAGTATCGGAGGTTCAAAATGCAGACGCTCCATTCCATTCTGGGCAGTGTCAGGCGAGGAGATCTCATGACCTCAATAGATCTCACAGAGGCATATCTGCACATTCCCATCCTCCTGGAGCATCGCAAATTTCTGCGGTTTTGTCATCTCAACCACCACTTCCAGTACAGGGCCCTACCATTCGGTCTTTCCTCTGCCCCCAGGGTCTTCACCAAGATCCTGGTGGTGTTGGCAGCACACTTGAGATTGGTCCCGGTGCGTGTCCAGTGCGCGTCCAGTGCTACCTGGACGACATACTGATCCAATCAAATTCCGTCACGACCGCCCAGTCGGATCTGGCCCTTACTATCAGGACTCTCCAGAACCATGGGTTCTTGATAAATTTCAAAAAGAGCCAGACGTCTCCCTCGACCCGCCTGTTACATCTGGGTGCGGTGATAGATACGGACTCTTGTCACATGTTTCTGTCAGAGGAATGACGAATGAGCATCCGAGACCTGGTCCTCAGGATACGCAGGGGCAGGGTAATGGCACTAGCTCTCCTTTCCCAACTACTGGGGAAGTTGATATCGTGCATAGCGATAGTGCCGTGGGCCCGACTACATGCCCAGACCCTCCAATGGTTCCTGCTCCCGTACCAGAGACGGCACACCAGTTCCTCCAACCAGTTGGTATGGGTCCCACACCAGGTGTTCCTCTCTCTCGACTGGTGGACATCTTCGGCTGTGCGCAAGGGGATTATTTTCAAGGAGCCTCACCATATTCTTGTGACCACGGACGCAAGTCTCTTCGGCTGGGGTGCACACCTCCAAACCCAGATGGCTCAGGGACAGTGGTCACAGTCAGACCTGAGTCACAACATAAATTGGTTGGAGCTCAGGGCAATCCATCTGGCTCTCAAGCACTTCCAAACCGTGCTTGAGAACAACCTGATTTCCATCAGGGCCGAGCATATTTCAGGAGAGGTGAACCGGCAGGTGGACTTCCTCAGCAGGTCAATAGTGGACCATTCGGAGTGGCGTCTACACCTGGATCTCTTCA